GAATGGGTGTGACATGACGCTGTGGGCGGAGCAGCGCCTTCTTCATGAGCGTGCCATGTCGTTATCACACATTTTTGAGCCGCCAACATAATACATTCTCTGGGCTTGCGGACAGGATTGCCTTGCCCGAGGACGGTGCCGCACACCAAATAATCATGGAATGTACCTTTGAGATCCAGTGTACTGGACTGCGTAGCTGTGCTACATCAGCGCCCAGGAAGAGATTCAAAGCAGGTGTTCATCAGGTGATAAGACTCACCGGTGCTCGGCTGAGCCGTCGGTTGGTGCATGCTGGCTAGTTCCTGGTGGCGCACCCTGGCTTGGTCCTGAGCCTGAATTTGATCAGTTGCCCAGGCTGTATTGACGGTTGACTCACGCTCCATCAGAGCACGTATTTTAGAATAGGAACGAATTTCTACTCTCATGATTGATACCCCTCCCTGCACATTCTGCACGGTTATATGGAGGGGGGGGGGGTCCGAATTTTGGGATAATTAAACAGTTTGGTGAGAGACGCTCATAAATTCAATTCTTACGTGTTTCTCTTCCAGGCAGGGCGTGTTGTTGCTGAAAAGAAACCGTTTTGTATTCGCTTATAAAATTGGTTCCAAAGTAAAATCAGTCAGTCACTAGTAGCCAAAGAGGTTCACATTTTTGGGTCATTATCGGCCACGGGCGCTGTTTGTCGACGGGGGCATTTTGTATTATATTGCTTCCCTAGTTCCGGTTTACAAATCTCACTCTGGTAAAACTTGTGAACGCTTGTGAAGCTGGAGCAAGATCGTCTAGCCACCATCCTAAAACGTGTCAACTCGAAAAAGGGTACCTAGATGGGTTGGCAAATCTATGAAAAGCAGAATGCCCCCGTCGATAAACAGCGCCAGAAAACGAAGTTTGAAAGGGTTGTAATTTGCTGTTTTCCCCCAACGACAAGGCTTGCCGTGTGAGATATACCTGGTCGGTGCGCGTAGTTTAATCGCAGTAGTTTATGAACACGCTGATTCCGCGTGATCAGGACGCCTTTCCTCCGCGTTTTAACTGTTCGATTCACTATCGATGGCCATTATCATGAGATTATCAATGTTGTAGGTTCTTCACAACGTGGAGCTGAGCTGTTTCTGTCTGGACTAGCAAGACTAAAACATAAACGGCTGCTCGATCTGTTTTTCTCGGGCACATCAGCTCATGCTATCGAAACACTGTGTTACGCACTTCTACCTATTAAAACTAACAAACCTGTCGAGGTAAGTGTGACAACGTGGTTTCATATGTTTGTGGCTGAGAGGATTCCCTAAAAGCAGGAGCACATATTAATTCACGTTTGATTTCAGCTAATTGAAAAGTTTTCCGATTTACTATGTGATAACTGGAATGATGCAGTGGGTTGCCAGCACTCAGCATTTCTAGTACGATGTTTTGCATGGGTTGCTTGTGGACTTAGGAAGAAAGACAAGGTAGTCTTTTCCAGCTATTAATCATTATTTCTGTGGTAATGGGCGAATGATCACTGCTGTACACTTCTCATCTCTGGGGCGGAGTACGCGTGGCATTTCAAAACAGCCTAGGACGGATATTTCAATTTTGAGACACATGTCTGTGTTGGGCAAAGACGTGACCACATTTGTCTGGAAATGGAAGTATCCGTCCTACGCACTTTTTAAATGCCACGCCACCATACGGCTGTCAAGTTCAATTCAAGTACGCAGTCACGCCTACCACATCTCAGGGGTTTCGAGTGTATTATGTTTTGTCCATTTCGATCAGCGGTTTTGACCCTTAATACATACTGATCCTATGATTAACTAGGGCAAATCTTCGCGAAAGACTCCTCAGAAGTGAGTCGTAAGAAGATTTAGTTTTTCCACATTGTGATAATCACAGGACCCATTCGTCCACTGGGAAAATTCTTGCAAAATACGGCGACCTCTGGCTGTGGTGACCCCATCCTACTCCACCTTGCCTTTCCCCCTGAATAGTGCCATCCGTTTAGGGTGTAGAGTGGGCTGGGGAGGCAGGGTACAGCATCGCGATGTGTGAAATGGTGGTGTCAGTAGGACTCCTCTCAAGGGAGGGTCTTGGGTAGGACCCTTCACCTAGGGGAGGTTGTCGGTACATCCCCCCCTCCCCAACACCTACCTACCAATTTTTCCAGCCAAAGATTTCCGTCGAGCAAAGGAGCTGAGGGTTAGCACACATGAAACAGGAAAAATCGCGAAAAATCAACAAGCGAGCAAAATTTTTTTCCCAACGCGGCAAACTTCTCTCAAAGCCACATACGACCCCCCCCCTCTCCCAACAACGACCAAGCACG